GAAATATTCATATTTCCTTTTGCAGGCGAAAATTGTATCAAGAGAAGAAACAGCTTCTAGAATTTGTTTTCTGAAAGTTTACTTTTGTGGTTGGCACGTTTTCTGGGCAAAGTGTAACCTATAACTTCTTCCTCCAGGGGGTGGTGTGGAGCAGAGTGCCAGTGCCAGAAGGAACCCTAGAATTATTTTTGGTGGCTTGTGCTCTTCCATGTTTAAACAGTGCTGTCCACCTGAAAATTGCTCTCATTTTGCGTTTTTTCCCCCTGTGGGAAAAGCGAAAGGTAGAGAGATGGTGTAGACTGTTTCTAAATGCCTCTGATAAATGTGGCCCCCTCCTGTTCCAGGCTCTTTTGTACATACCTCTATGTTAACCTTTATTTTCATTTTATTCTGTATTTATATTTACTGGCTTACTATAAAGGGTATTACAAATGATCCAGATGAGGAGATGCATAGGGTGAGGTATAGAGGAAGAGGCGTGAAGCTTCCATGCCTCCTGCAGCATGCCACCCTCCAGGAACCTCCATGTGCTCAGCTGTCTGGAAGCTCTCCTAACCCAGGCCTCTTGGGTTGTTATGAAGGCTTCGTTACATAGGCATGATTGATTAAATCATCAGTCATTGATTAAGTTGGTTACTGGTGATCAGCTTAATCCTCTCCCCTCCTTGGGAGGTTTTGGGGGTGGGACTAAAATTCCCACCTTGGTCTTTTCTGTGACCAGCCCCTATTTTGAAGCTGCCTAGGGGCTACCAGCCATCATTAGCATATAAAAAGACTCAGTACTTGGGTGTTGTATGTCAGGAGACCTGGATGAAGACCAAATACATATTTTTACAATATCAGTCCACTCCCTGGTCCTTGAACAGGGATCCCTTACGTCAAAAGGACATAAAACTCAAAAGATACTGGCACATTACTAGCATCCTCTTCAGCCATTAATAATAGTCCAATCCACTATTACATGAATATGTCTTCCAGGGTGAGGTGGCTCAAATGTGCAGGCTTTCATTTGATCTTGTCAGGTTCCAAAGGCAAGAGTGGTCACAGCAAACACCTTCACCCTTTCAGGCATCTGATGTAATTAAGCTAAAAGATGATGTCATCTCTTGCTCTGAGACTCTGAAGGTGTTAAAATGTAATGCTGGATTTCCCTCATTGCATAACCCATTTATTAGTTTTTACTCTGAGCTACTGCTCCTCCTATCTATTAATACCCGAAGTTTTCACCTTTGGAAGGGGACATTAAGTTTGGCCACTTATTTGTCTAGATTGTAGGCAGCAGTATTAGTCTAATACCCCCCGACCCCCTCCAATCCAGTGACATACAGAATGAAATTACGTAGGCGCAGAACTACTGGGCTGTGTTTCCCATCAGGCAATATAGCTGCATTCAAGGTCAACCCCAGATTTGTCAGATGAGGTGAAGGCAAACCTACCTCCGTCAGGCCCTTAGGAATTCTGACATAAGGTTTAGAAACATAATTTTTTGCTTAGAAATTACCCCTGCTTGTGCTTGTAGCTGCAAGACCTGGTGCTAGAACCAGTGCATCAGGTAGGGGGGGAAAAGTGAGATAATGGGAGAAGAAAGGAAAAATTAAGAGTCATCACAACAGTGTACTCCCTTGGCAAGAATTGCAGTCAATTTGAGCATCTTTCCCCACCTCTCTTTCCCAGATCCACCAGAAAAATGGAGGACTGTCTAGTGTCTAAACACTACTTTAGTCCCACTCGTGCGAGCACACACTTCGTGAAGGCATGTAAGCCAGCTATAACTCCCCATTTTAGACAACCAGTTTCAGTTGCCCATTCTACTTGTCCATCAAACTGTTAACTCTGAGGGGGTATCTCCGTGTTGTTGGATGTTAGGGGCTGTACAGTGTGTTCCTTTGAAGAAATGATGGCCTGCCATCCAAGTCTGCAATACCTGTTTTTCCTGTAGCACTTTGAGCATTTACATCTTCCAAAGAGTAAGCAAAGCTAAATCCGGAGGTGGTATTTATTCCCGTTAAGAGCCATTTGTAGCTCCCCAGGGCTACTGCCATCAGCCTCGCTGGCTATATTCAGGGTCTTCCAATGGGTCAGTAAACCCAATCCACAGGGTGTTTTTGTTTTTTAACCACTGTTCAATTTTTCCATCATTGCTAGGGAAACAGCATGCAGTTCAGCCCACTGAGCTGATTTGTTTTACAATCTTTGATCAGAATGGCATCCTTCCAAATAGGATGTCCATTCACTTTGGAACTGCCATTCACAAACCCAGCAGCTTTTGGCTGGTCATTTGAGAACTGTCTATAGGGTATTGTAGAACCTAGCAGCTCCTCACCCAGTTCTGGAGTCAGAAAAAGATGATCACTGCTTGTATCTCGTGCATTTCCCAGGTAGCATGATCCCGTATAGGCCATTTAAATTCTAGTCCAAAGTCCAAGTAGTTGCTGGGAGGCGCTCACAGGCTTTTGCCAGTAAGCCCCAGTCTGGGCTACACATAGGGCTATCGAATGGAGAATTTGTTCATTATCAGCGCTCCAGCTTCTACTCTACACTCGGCTCAGGCAGTCACACTGGTTCCCATTTAGCAAGTCCATTAATATTGCCAGAAGGGTGGGTTTACATGTCTTCTGTTTTTACAATATTAGGGGGAACAGTCATTCCCCAATCAGTTACAGTGTTATCTTTATAATATGATCAGGTAAAAGACAACCATTTCACATAAAGTGTGTTCAAATAAACCGATTCTGGGGCTGGCCAGTGGCTCACTTGGGAGAGTGTGGTGCTGATAACACCAAGGCCACGGGTTCGGATCCCTATATAGGGATGGCCGGTTAGCTCACTTAGGAGAGCGTGGTGCTGAAAACAAGTCAAGGGTTAAGGTCCCCTTACTGGTCATCTTTAAAAAAAAAAAAAAAAAGCCAAACCAACTCTTTAATTCCATCATCATTTAATTTCCTAACTGTAGCCTCCATTAGGACTTTATCAGTAGGTTTTGATTTTACAATGCTTTGGGGAAGTGTTTCCCATCCAGACATAATATCTATTCTCATAAAACATTCAGGTGAAGGAGACAATATTTTTACATAAAGCATGTTTAAACATTCCAACTTTTAGGGGTCGGCCCGTGGCTCACTTGGGAGAGTGTGGTGCTGACAACACCAAGTCAAGGGTTAAGATCCCCTTACCAGTCTTTTTTTTAAAAGAAAACAAAACATTCCAACTTTCATAATCCTATCAACCCTCATTTTTATTTTAGTCCCCAGAGCTTTTCCACCTCCAGACCATTTTACTCTCTAGTACAAAAGGCTTTGGGTCTATAGCAGGGGGTTGAGCCCAGGGGCCCTTGCCTGTTTATCTTGGTTTATCTGTTTGAACTTTGTTCCAGGCAATTGTTGGTCAGCTTTTTCATTGTAATCTCTGTCCTTCTACCTTCACACTCCTTCACAGTGGGGTAAATACAGCAAACTTGTTTGGAACCCTTTTATGTTGGGGGACCAGCAGGGGCTTTGATCCACCCACCCTTCAGTAATGTTGTATTAAGACCTTTGTTTTAGGGCCGGCCCCTGGCTCACTCGGGACAGTGTGGTGCTCATAACACCAAGGCCCCAGGTTCGGATCCCTGTATAGGATGGCCAGTTAGCTCACTGGTTGAGCGTGGTGCTGACAACACCAAGTCAAGGGTTAAGATCCCCTTACCAGTCATCTTTTTAAAAAAAAAAAAAAAAAAGAACCCAACTTTGTTTTTTTTTCTTGATTTTGCCCTTTCCCCATGTATTAGTCCGTTTTGTGTTGCTATAGCAGAAATACCTGAGACTGGGTAATATATAAAGAACAGGTTTATTTGGCTTACAATCTGGGACAGCTGCATCTGGCACGGGCCTCAGGCTGCTTCTAGTCATGGCAGAAAGTGGCAGGCAGCTGGCAGGTACAAGCACATCACATGGTGAGAGGAAGCAAGAGAGAGGAGAAGAGGAGGTGCCAGGGTCTATTAAACAACCAGTTTTCACGGGAACTAATAGAGTGAGAACTCACTCATTAATCCCCCCTCCCCCAGGGAGAGCATTAATCCATTCATGAGGGATCCACCCCCATGACTCAATCAGTTTCCAACACGGCCTCATTGGGGATCAACTTTCCACATGAGTTTTGGAGGGGACAACATCCAAACTCCATCACCCCATACTGACTACTTTCTTGGTAACCAGAGGTCTTAGAGGTACTTGGTTATTCCTGTATAACTTTTTCCTTGGGGGGCAGCTCTGAGGCTAGTGGCCTAAGCTCAGACTCCCTGAAACACGAGCTTGGTCCAACCTCAAGGCCCAACCCAGTGCTGTCTTTTACTTTAATTTTAGTTATTACAGACAATAACCAAGGGATTGAATATTTTCCTTTTCTCTTATTTGCATTTCCTTATGCATCCAGTGAACCAACTCCCTAGGAGTTGGATCCATGTCAAGTTCCACCGGTAGCTTTTACCTTTAGAAACTAAGAGTAGCATGGCTCTGGCTCCATACCGTGGTTGACCATGTGGCCACCCAGGAGTCAAAGGTTCCTTATCCCCCATCCATTTACCCTTTTCCCAAACCACATGTTTCCGTGAGTCAGGGCCACTGTAGCAAACTCTGATTCTGACACCAGTCTGTGAGTGAGTGCTCTTACTCAGCCACAAGCAACACAGAAGACCAACTTCTGTGTCCAGATGTGTGTGGATTTCTCCCCACTAGCAAGCAAGCCAGCAGTTCTTTAGCAGACATCAACTGGGTGTCCTCCAATTTACTCAGACACAATCTTAAGGTAGATAGCATCAAGTCCCACAGATGGAGGACTCAGTCCTCAAGACTGCCCCCCACTTCAGATGCCAGTCACAAGTCCAGGCCTCTGGAACTGCTGACCAAATAGCTATAAATCAGGGTTCCCATAATCCCTTCCTTGGGTTTGGTTAGTTTGCTTGAGCAGCTCACAGAACTCAGGGAAGCCCATACTTACACTTACTGGTTTATTATAAAAGATATTACAAAGGCTACAGGTGAAGATGAATAGGGAGAGGTAGGGGGAAGGGGGCGCGGAACTTCCATGCCCTCCCTGGGGTCGCCACCCTCCAGGAACCTCCATGTGTTCAACTATCTGGAAGCTCCCATGTTAAACTTTAGGCTTGGCCACAAGGGCAGACCCTTTGAGGTAGTACTGGAGGAGCCACCAAATAGTAAACCAAGAGGAACTGTTCCATGATGACTGTGAGGCAGGAAGAACAGAGGAAGCATTTGGTTAGCCTGATGCTCAACGAACAGTGAAACCAGAGCTTTCCCTGAGATGGCACAGCCTTTGGAAACAGCTCTGTGCATGCACCTGCTTTCCAAGCTGGAAGTGGGCTAAACACATAGGTACAAACTGGTTTTTCATCTATTGCGTATAAAAAATTCAGCATCTGGGTGAGTTGGCTGGAACTGCTAGGGGCTGAATGTGGGGCTGTTGCTGGGGAAGGCACCTCAGCTCTGCTCGAGGTCGGCAACCAGGTAGGGCTGGGTGTTCCTCAGGGCCTGAAGGAACAGGTCCTTGCAGGTCAGGTTCCAGGCGGGAGCAAAGCTGAAGAGCCTCCTCATCTTCGTTGGATTGGTGGTCTCTGCCCGCACTGTCTGGTACTGCTCCTCAGTCAGTACCTTCCCATACAGGGCGTCCAGTACCCCATCGACGTCTGTAACCCGTGTGATGAGTGCTGCCCGGTGCTGGTCCACAAAGTGCAGTCCTGGGGGTGGAAGGGAGAACAGATGAGCCAGCGCCGAGTGCGTGTTGGCGCCTAGTCCCTGTGGTACCCTGCTTTCTTCAGAAATTCCTCTGAATACAAACCTAATGGCTGGGGCTGCAGTGGGGTAGCTCGCTGGGGCTCCAGATGTAGTGGGATAAGTTTAACTGTCTCCCTTTCTTCCCCCACCACACTTCCTGCCCAGGGAAGTGTGTGAGTTTGTGTGGGCAGGGACCCAAGCACTGCTCTGGCACAACAGATCTGGGATAACAGCTGTGCAGGGGTGTGGTGGGATGGGGCTGGAGAAGCCTGTTCAGGCAAGGTGAGGTTGGGTGTGGAGACCTCACCCGTCTTGGCTGCCATCTGAGGAAGGGCCTTGATCCTGGCTGGTTCAGCTCCAGGGCCTGTAAGAAAACGAGTCAAGTGGTCCCTTTCCTGTTAGGTTCGGTGAGACGGAGAAAAGGGAGAGAGAGAGACCTGAGCCAGGTGCCATTTCAGCCAAAAAGCTTTATTCCACTAACGTGGAGGGGAGACTGAGCCAGATCAGTTCCCCCCAACAAAGGAAAGCAGGGGTTTATAAGCCTTTGAAGGTTCTGGCAGAGTAATGGGCAGCTTCAAAATCAGTGGTATGCAAGGTGACATAGCCCTTGTAGTCTGCTAACACCTGGTCGATTAGGGCATAGGCTTCTAATTAGTGTCGCTACCATATCAGCGCAAAGCGCTCCAGCCTGAAGCCGGCTACTGCAGCCCACAAGACATTCCTTTGATGTTAACGGTCATGTACGTTTACCCCTTCCCAGGAGAGGAATTTCGCTGCTCAGTTCCTGAAGCAGAAAAGGGAAAGAGGAGGGGGAGATAGGGGGAAAGTTGCTTAACATGGCTGTGCAGATGCTAAGCTAGCCAGGAGGCCTAATACTTCCCTTCCTTCCCCCCCCACCCCCCGGAATTTACAGATGAAAGAAAGTGGGAATCGGTCCCTTTCCCTTCCTATCGTGCTTTCAGGGTCTCTGGAGTTGGGGTCCCCTGGGTAGGGATAACAAATTTAGGGCCAAGCCAGGGAAACCCCACCAGAGGAGCTCACCCCACCGGAGAAACAGAAAGCGGAAGGGGGAGGACCGGGAGTTGGCGGTGGATGAGGGGACGCTGGGGCGCGCTCACCGTCGAGCACGGTCTCCTGCAGCTGCCGCGCCGTCTCCTGCATGCCGATGTCGCGGAGCAGGAGCGCTGTGAGCTCGGCGCCGTAGGCTTCCAGATAGTAGCTGACGAGCTTGTCGGTGAGGTCCACGGCGTCCAAGGGCAGTAGCGTCCCCCGCGGGATGCGCCCGTAGCCGTCGCGCAGGGGCACTGACAGCAGCTTCAGCTTGAACTTCTTGAGCTCGTCGGCTGTCAGGTCCTCCAGCGCCTTCAGGATGGCGTCGCGCGCGCCCGCCATGGCTCAGGGATCCCCCGCCGCCGCCTCTCACCCGGGCTGCCGCCCACCAGGAAGTCTGCTCCGGGGCGGGACCCGCGACTCCCCGCCTCCCGCAGACTCCCGTCTCCGCCCCAGCGCGTTGCCCTCACCAGGCTTCCGGACTTATCCCCCGGCCATCGGCCATCGGGCCATCGGGAGACGCCAGGGTCTTGTCCTCTACCTGGTCTGTGGAGTGGGACCCAGGAGACAGCGCAGAGAGGGGCTCATGGGCGGCTCCTTCATCTCTGGGTTTGCACCAGCTAGCACAGACCAGGAACCTGGGCTCGCGCTCACCGAGTTTATTGGAACGCCAAGGCTTAGGAATCTTGGAATTTTAGAACCCTGAAATCCCTGTACCTTAGGATCCTCTCTCACATGTCATAGAGTCTTAGAATCATAACAGCCGGAACCCTGAAGCTTTCCAAATTCTATGTACTGGGGAGAAACGAGGTGTAAAAAGGGGTAGAGAGTAACTGCTTTTTTCCCTCTAGCCTCAATTTCATTATCTGTAAATGGGAATAATACTCAGCCACTTAGTAAATATTCCAACACAACATGGACTTATCTGATGGCTCCTGAAACCTTGCCAAGTGCTTTCTAGGGGAGCCAGAAAATTCTTACCTGCAGGGAAAGTCCTGGGTGGAGAGCCCACACTCTGGGCCCAGGGGGCTTGGCCCAGAAGAGCAGATAAAAGGATGGCACTGGAGCCTGTGCTGTGCTCACAGCCCTTAACATGCTCTTAACATGGCTGGGAAGGGCCTGCTGGTGACCTCCCCAGCCTTGTTTTGCACCTCACCCTGCTTCTCTCTTCCATGTCTGAGCTGCAGCCACACTGGCCTCCTAGTTCCTCAAACGTGCCAGGCTCCTTTGCCTCTCCAAGCCTTTGCACATGCTGTTCCCTTGACCTTGAAATCTCTTCCCTCTTTGCCTGACAAATGCTTGAGACCTTAGGTCTCAAGTTAAATGTCACCTCCTCTGAGAGACTAGGCTTAGAGTCCTTCCTAGACTAGTTCATGACACCCACTACTTATTCGCTGCTCTCATAGCTAACTAATGCCGTGTACTTATTTGCACCACTCTTCCCTGCCAGTCTGTAAGTCTCACCTGCCTAGAACATTGATATATCCTCAGCATCCAGATCAGTGCTTGGCAGATAGTAGTTGCTCAATATTTCTAGAATGAATAATGAATGAATGGGTCTTGTGGCTGAAGGGAGGATACCAGTAACTGGAAGGTATGCCTTACATACAGGCTCTTCTAAGAGAGGCAGCTTTCAGGACTTGAAGTCACAGAGTACTTCATTTGAATCCTGGCTCTACTTCCTAGGGGGGTATTGGGAATCCATTTTTCCCTTTCAGCTGGCTTGTAGCAATCATCATCCCTTCTAGTGATATGACCCTGACACACTATACGTTTATGCATTTATTGGGCATCCTAGAATGTGAACTCCATGAGAATTAGGGACCTTGTTTGTCTTGTTCATTGCTGAATCTCTGGCATCAAGAGAGTAGCTGGCACATAGTAGGTGCTCAGTAAAGATTTGCTGAGTGGAGGAATGAGTGAGGCTGTGCTGCTTGCAGCATGTATTCAAGAGCATCCAGGACTGTGGCAGGGCCCTGCTCCCCATCCTTGTGGTGTGCTGCCCACACGAGCTGGGCAAGCTATATGCCAACATTCTCACTGTGGGCAGCACTTGTGGTCAAGAGCTGGTATTCCTTGGCTTATGGCATTTTTATTATGCCTCCTCACTGGTTGCTGTGCTTCCAGAATCTTCAATTCATTTTGTGCACTGTGGCGAGAAGGATACATCTTCCTAACCCACACATACGATCCTGCCCCTTCCCTGCTCAGAAACCTCCTATGACTCATTGGTGCCCTCAGAATCAAGTCCAAGCTCCTTGGCTTGGCCTTCAAGTTCCTTGCCAACCTCTTCAGCTTCACCTTCCACCCTGCTGGCTTCGGGAGGTCTGCACACGTTGCATGTGCTTTCTGCTTGGCCTCTTTTCCCCTCCTGGTCTGCTTGGTGAGTTCCTGCCTGTTCTCTGACACTCATCAGGAATTACCTTTTTCTTTCTTTTTTTTAATTAAAAAATCCTTTCTGTAGTGGCTGGCTGGTTTGGGGATTCAAACCGTTGACTTTGGTGTTACCAACACCATGCTCTAACCAACTGAGCTAATTGACCAGCCCAAGAGTCACCTTTTCTAAGAAATAATAGAAATAATTTGAGCCCTTCTTTAAGCTGTGACCTTTCACATGCATTCTTTCTTTTTTTTTTTTTTTTTGTCTTTTTTTTTGTGACCGGTAAGGGGATTGCAACCCTTGGCTTGGTGTCGCTCGCACCGCGCTCAGCCAGCGAGCGCACCGGCCATCCCTATATAGGATCCGAACCCGCGGCGGGAGCACTGCTGTGCTCCCAGCGCTGCACTCTCCCGAGTGCGCCACGGGGTCGGCCCACATGCATTATTTCTAAGCCTTACAACAATCACTTTGAGATAGGGAATGGTACCCCATTTTAAAAATGAGCAGGCAGGCTCAGAAAGGTGGAAGGATTGGCCTAAGGTCATCATTAAAAGCGTTGGGCATTTGATTCTTGGAATTTTTAAAATGATTGCCAGATTAAACCTCTAGACAGAGCAGGATGCCCTCTGCCATGTGGCCTTCCCACTGCATCTCTTGAGCCCTTGTTTGAATTGGGTGACCTTTGCTTTGAGTAAAACCAATGTGACACATTTCAACTGAACCTTTGGGACTGCAGGAAAATGCACCTAGGGGAGAGTGTGTGAGTGTGTGTGTGATGTCCAGGAGGAGCAGGTAGGTTCCTTCTTCCTGGTGGTAACGGAGCATGTGGGTCATGGTGGCGTGATGCTGTCTCCCTTCACTTGTTTCTGGTATCACCACCTAGGGCCCTTCCTTTTGGGCCCAGCTTGCCCCTGGCAGCCTATCCCAGTCACATCCTACTGACACAAATATTTAGACTGAGACAGCAAGCTCCCGGCTGTGATTGTCACCTGACATCACCTCAGAGCAAGTGTTAGCACTTTGGTGAGATGTCACGGGGAAGCAGGGGACAGGGGGTTCGGGTAATGCAGCCATTCCTCTTGCAGAATGGGAAGCCTCACTCCTGCAGCAGTTGCAGGCTGGAGCTCAGTGTCACCTTTTGGCAGGTGGAAGTGTTCTAAGCACACTGTAAATTCTGAACGCCAAAGGGAACAAAGTTTTTGGAGAATCTGTTTTGTTCTAAAATATTGTATTAAGTGTACTAGTTGCCCAACCCATGATAATTACTGTCTTATTATTAAGCTTCCATTTTTTGATATGTACATTTTCTAGGTACTTAACATACATAATCTCATTTCATTCTCCCAGTAACCTTACGAGGTATGTATATTTATCCCTACTTTACAGAGGAGAAAACAGGTTTTCAGTAATTACTCTGGAAGCCTACAGTGCTAATAATTGATGAAACAGAGATCGAACTCATGTTCATCTGACTCCTATGCCCAAATTCCAGCCAATATCCCTGAAGTCTCACTCTGCCCTCAAAATTTGACAGATTTTGAGGAAAACTGACAGCTAATCAGTTGATGGCTCACTTGGCTGGAGTGTGCTGCTGATAATACCAAGGTCAAGGGTTCGAATACACTTACTGGCCAATCGCTGAACAAACAAACAAACAAACAAACAAAAAAAACGATGAATTGCTTGAGAAGAGAGATTATGTATATGGATAATATATGTCTCCTCCAGACTGTCTGGAAACACCATTATGAAGGCAGATGTTGCAATAATAGTAGTGATGATATTAACTTCCTCCTATTTGCAGAATCTCTAGAACTTACAACCCACATTCACAAGATATGGAATAGTGGGAAAAGCAGGAGTTGAGGGGTGTCAGAACCAGTCAGATTTGATTCCCAGACTCTATCTGCTAGCTGTGTGACTTAGGGAAGTCATGGCCCCACTCCAGATCTGGATCCTGTGTCAATGATGTGCTTGCCTCACCAGCCCACAGGAAAGTCAGTGCTCTGAGTAGAGCAGTGCTGTGGTTTGCATGTACCGCCATGCTCATGTTGGAACTTAACGCCCAGTATGGTGGGGGAAGGTGAGGCCTTTAAGAGGTGATTGGATGGCGAGGACTGCATCCTTGCAAATGGATTGATTCATTCATGGAGAAATGGGTTGATGGTTTAATGGGTTGTCATGGGTGTGGTGCTGATGGCTTTATAAGGAGAGCAAGAAGGTTAGCTCTCTAGCTCTTGCCATTCTCGCCATGTGATACTGTGCTTCGCCCTGGGACCCTGTAGAGAGTTCTCACCCAAAAGAAGTCCTTCACCAGATTTGACCCCAGACCATGGACTTCCCAGCCTCCATAACTGGAAGATATAAATTTCATTTCTTTGTAAATTACCCAGTTTCAGGTATTGTATTATAAGAAACAGAAATGGACGAATACAGGCAGTGACACATAGAACAGTTGACCTGGCTCTCCTCACATAACATCATCCTATGACCAAAGGTCTGCCCAAAGGGGCAGAGCCTGCTGGTTCCTGGAGGCTGCCAGGGTGGTTTCCACCTGAGGAGGTGGGGAGCCTTGGACACTCTCTGGGAAGCCCCAGTACTTCCTTTTCCTTTGACCCCCTTTTTTCTGCATGAGGTGTTCAGAGCTCTGAGTTTTGACTCCTGGCAAGAAAGAACCTTCATGTTTCAGCTCAGGCTCACCATTGCCCCCTTGGACAAGAGCCAGAGCAATTGGTGGAGGTAATATACCTCCTGGTGGCAGGGGTGGGGTGGTGGTGAAAAAAGATACCTTCTGGGTGTGACATCCTCCATCTCCAACAAAGTAACTCTGGTTGCTGGAGCAAGATTGCTCTTCCTGGGGCCAGAAGGACCACAGACTGCCAGGACATTGGGCAAGTTACTTAACCTCTCTTTGCCTCATGGCTTCCCTGTAAGACAGGAACAGTGATAGTGTTGTTATGAGTCTTAAACAAGTTAAAGATTGAGAAGTGCTTGGAACAACCCTGACACATGGTAAGTGCTTTTGTCATTGATAAAGTTTTTGCGCCTCAGTTTCCCAATCTGTGAAACGAGGATGATGCTATTGACCTTAGGGATTATTGGGAGGCTTTGTTGGAACAATTAGTAATAATAATTGTAGTAATATTAATAGCTAACATTTATTGAACATATTCTATGGGTCTGGCACTGTTCTAAATGCTTTATAAGAGTTAACATTCGGGCCGGCCCGGTGGCGCACTGCTACAGTGCGCCGCTTGGGAGCGCGGCAGCGCTCCCGCCGAGGGTTCCGATCCCACATACAGACTGGTTCCCGCTCTCTGGCTGGGCGAGGTGCGGGCGCGACACTGAGGGTTGCGATCCCGTTGCTGGTCCGGTCCGGTACGGGTGCGACACTGAGGGTTGCGATCCGTTGCCGGACACGAAAAAAGACAAAAAGGAAAAAAAAAAAGAGTTAACATTGAATCTTTGTAATAACCCAATAGTCTTGATAAAAATCCTTACATGATTCCCATTTTACAGATGAGGAAATTAGATTAAGTGACTTGCCCAAGGTCCCACTACAAGGAAATAGCAAAGTCAGGATTTGAACCTAGTAGTGGCAGTCACTGCTCTCTAAGCCCTTGGGTGCCAGCACATTGTCCCTGTTTATTTGGCATATTATCTAGTTTAATCTTCGTGTCACCTTGACAGGGATGATGTTATTATCCTACTTATCCTATATTGTAGCTGAAGATGCTAAAGCCCAGAGGGGTAGATGATTTTCCCTGGGGGGCACCCAGCATGACCTTGCGATGTTAACATTTGGGACCTGCTTCTGTAGCAGCCCTCACAGGGGGGTTTCTGGCCTCTGTCTGCATACATCCAGTAATGAGGAGCTCTCACCTCTCAAGGCACTTATTGCACCAGCTGTTGGGAAGCTCTCCCTTAGGATGAGCTAAAGTCTGTCCTCTCTGAGCTCTGTGGGTCCCAGGGACCTCGTAGAGCTTGGTCTTCAGGTCAGCAACACTAGTTTCTTACCCCTCCTCCCCTGGACATAGCTTCTTGACCCTTCTTGTCCTCCAACTTGCTGAAGTCAATCAATGTCCCTTTGAGGGGTCAGAGGCCAGACCTGGCCCATCTGCAGAGAAGTGAATTGACTGTCACCTCCCTGTCCTGGACACACACTCCTATGAATGACAGTCGAGTGACCATAACCTTTAGCCTTAATATGGCAGTGATGGAAACTCCAGATGAGATATAGTTTCTGGATGTTAAGTTTTTGAGTCTAAGTGAAGTGGCTTGTGGCTTCAGAGACTAGATCCAGATATACCCTCATCCCCATCCCCTTCCTGTTGCTAACCCAAACTCAGGCCAAGTCTGAGCCATCAAAAATGGCAGAGAAGAAATCAGAGACTTAGACATAAAGAGAGCAGGGAAATAAAACTTCCCTGGATTTCTCTGTGTCCTGGTAGAGAGCACTAGCTTTCTCATACTTTTCACATACCATGGGAATTGTATCGATAGTCATTTGTATAGGTAATTGCTCTGATCTAAAAGAATAATAAAACTTTTCTCTTCCTGAGAAGACCTAATGGTTACAGCCTGAACAAGGTCACTAGGTGGAGCTCCCAAGGTGCCAGGAGTTCTGGAGTTGCTATCTTCCTAACCAGGCCAGAGTAAGCTTGTGTCATCAACAGGCACCGTGCAAGAGGCAGTGAGCCCCAGAAAACAGAGACAAATCCTAGGACTTGTCATAAAACCCAGATTTGCAAGGGGCCACCTGGCTCCTGGGGAGATTTTATTTACTTACCAAAGTGTTGAAGTAAGGAGGAGACCTTTAAGGAGGGGAGGGGGACAGCTGCCTCCTTCCCCTTCATAAGCAGGGAAAATAATTTTTCCTTGTTGCTCACCTGTGGAATATCTGGTCACTCACATAGGACAGTTGACCTGACTCCCCTCACATCACCCTACGACCAAAGAGGCCCAAAGCATGCATAACTTACTGAGTTATTTAGTAAGAAATCTGACTCCGATTCAGTATGTCTCATGTGCACATTTGGGATAAAATTTTTAAAAAATGAATATCAAAAACCTAGGAAAGAGGCAAAGAGAGAGTCCAAAGGGAGATTAAGAGACTGAAACAGAAACAGAAACTCAGAGAGACAGAGAGTGATGGAGAGAGGAATGAGCAAAACCTGATATAGGGGCCGGCCCGGTGGCTCACTCGGGAGAGTGTGGTGCTGATGACACCAAGGCCCCGGGTTCGGATCCCATATAGGGATGGCCGGTTCGCTCACTGGCTGGGCGTGGTGCTGACAACACCAAGTCAAGGGTTAAGATCCCCTTACCGGTCATCTTTTAAAAAAAAACAAAAACAAAAACAAAAACAAAAAAACCTGATATAGACTGGGGCAACTGAGAGAGACTGAGAGGCCAAATGAGAGGGACGGAGTCTGTATGTTTAGTCACTCACTGAGTACTTATTGAGCACCTACTGTGTGCCGTATACCTTATTGTTAGCTGGAGAGAAGGAGTAAACAAAATTTATATTCTGGCAGGAGGAGACAGATAAGAAACAAACAAATAAAATATATTGCATGCCAGATGGTAATAAATGTTTTTGATTTTTTTTTTTTCTGGCAGCTGGCCCATACAGGGATCAAACCCTGAATCCTGGTGTTATCAGCACTATGCTCTAACCAACTGAGCTAACCAACCTGCCCCGATAACTTCGTATAATGTATGCTATACGAAGTTATTACGTGCTGATGACACCAAGGCCCCGGGTTCGGATCCCATATAGGGATGGCCGGTTCGCTCACTGGCTGGGCGTGGTGCTGACAACACCAAGTCAAGGGTTAAGATCCCCTTACCGGTCATCTTTTAAAAAAAAAAAAAAACAAAAACAAAAACAAAAAAACCTGATATAGACTGGGGCAACTGAGAGAGACTGAGAGGCCAAATGAGAGGGACGGAGTCTGTATGTTTAGTCACTCACTGAGTACTTATTGAGCACCTACTGTGTGCCGTATACCTTATTGTTAGCTGGAGAGAAGGAGTAAACAAAATTTATATTCTGGCAGGAGGAGACAGATAAGAAACAAACAAATAAAATATATTGCATGCCAGATGGTAATAAATGTTTTTGATTTTTTTTTTTTCTGGCAGCTGGCCCATACAGGGATCAAACCCTGAATCCTGGTGTTATCAGCACTATGCTCTAACCAACTGAGCTAACCAACCTGCCCCAGATGGTAATAAATGTTATGGAGAAAAATAAAGCAGGGGAGGGAGATGGAGAGATATGAGATTTAAAATCAGGGAGTTAGGAAAGGCCTCACTGAAAAGGCGACACTGAGTAACCATCTGAGGGAGGAAGAGAGACAGCTGTGCAACATCTGGGTTTGAAAGAGTTTCAGGCAGAGGGGACAACAAGTACAAAGTCCCTGAGGCTGGAGTGAGCAAGGGCCAGGGTGAGCGAGGACTTTGATTTTTATTCTGAATGAAATTTCAAGAGATTTAAAAGATAAGCATATGGGAAGGCCTGAGGCTCCCAGAGCTGCAGGCTCTGTACTCAGTTCATTCATTTATTTAACTGTCTTTCATTCATTCTCCAAGTATTTAGGGAGGCCCACTGTGCCCCAGGGCTTGTGCTGGGCACTGGAGAGACCAACATAGAAAAGACCCTCCCCTAAACTCTGGGAGAAGAAAGCCTTCAGGGTGGGTGAGGTCCTGCCCTCCTGCAGGTGGGCATAATACTGTGTGAGACTTTGCTGAGCTATAAGCTTGGGGATTGAGTGGGTGACAAGCTGGAGAGGGGTTACAGGCAAGGAGGAAGGAGGCCAGAGAGTGTGGAAGTGGGGGAGAAAGGAGAGACTAACCCTGCCTAATTTTCTCTCTTTTCTGTGGTCGGGGAGGCTCTGCCCACTGGCTCTGAGGTCTGGCAGGGCAGGGGAGAGGACAGTGGATGGGCCAGGACAGGTGGCCTTGACATGTGATGCCTGCCGGCTGACTACTCAGTCCTCACTTTTAGAACTGTTTCCAGAAGTGATGGGAGGGGATGGGCAGGGCAGCTAAATATAGTCCTGGGGCCATGGCTCGGTTGGGAGGGTCTGTCCACTGTTCACTGCCGGTGCTCCACTGCCAGCTGCTCCTGTGAGTCCTCTGTCCTTGCTCTGAGCCTACTACTTGCCTCTCGCTTGTCTTTGGACACGTCTCTGATCCCCTTACGGTGAGGCCTGACCCTGACTTGTCCTCCTGGGAGTCTCTTTTGGCCTAAGAGCTGCAACCAGACCTGTAAGTCCTGTGGGCCTGAAGATGTAGGGGAGAGGAGAGCTGGGGATCCTGTGATGTGGGTGAGAGGAGGGCTGGGGATGAGGGCTATGGAGAATTTGGATTTGGGGCCGAGGCTAACGCCCGTGTCAGAGGCTGAGGCCTGGGCCTAAGACAAGGGCAAGGACAGTGGGTAAGATCGTGTTTGGAACCCAGGCTTGTGTTTAGGAGCTGGGGTTGGCGGGTACCCTCACAGGGTATATTTTTGGGGCTGGGGCCTGCAGTTGAGGCTGCCTTTGGGCCTGAGACCGAGTCCCCCTTCCCCCCTCGCCAGAACCAGAGTGCCTTTCAGCATGGGATGTGAGGTCTTTACAGGCTGGGGCTTCTCCATTTGGGCCGCAGACCCAGACTGGGCCCAGGCTGGGAGCGCGGCCCCACCGGGCCTCCTGACCGACCCCTCCTCCACCCAGGCCCGCCATGTCGGCTGCGCCCGGCCTCCTGCACCAGGAGCTGTCCTGCCCGCTGTGCCTGCAGCTGTTCAACGCGCCCGTGACGGCTGAGTGCGGCCACAGTTTCTGCCGCGCCTGCCTGGGCCGCGTGGCAGGGGAGCCCGCGGAGGATGGCACCGTGCCCTGTCCCTGCTGTCAGGCACCCACGCGGCCGCAGGCTCTCAGCACCAACCTGCAGCTGGCGCGCCTGGTGGAGGGGCTGGCGCAGGTGCCGCAGGGCCACTGCGAGGAGCACCTGGACCCGCTGAGCATCTACTGCGAGCAAGACCGCGCGCTCGTGTGCGGCGTGTGCGCCTCGCTAGGTTCCCACCGTGGCCACCGTCTGCTGCCCGCCGCCGAGGCTCATGCGCGCCTCAAGGTGCGGGACCCAGCGGGGGTCGAGGTCGGATGGGATTGTTGGATGGGGCGGGGTCTGGCCGATCCAGAGGCCAATGCATTGGCTCAGACTCTGAGCTTGGAGGCCCATGGGTGCCTGGAGTTACGGGGGTCGCGAGCGGGACAAAGCGGCGGCCAGGGAAGGGGGTCCGAGGAGCTGAAGGCGGAGCCTGGCAAAGTTGGACGCCTGAAGAACCTCGCGGGGGCGGGTCCCGCAGGAGGGCGCTGCGCGAACCCAGACTCCCCAGCCTCAGCCTCTGGAGCGCGCCTGGAGATGCGGGGGGCGGAGTCTGACGAGCCGGGGGCGGAGCTGACGAGCTGGGGGGCGGAGCCTGGAGGAGGGCGGACTGAGCGCCCAGGGCACGCGGGCGCTTTGGTGTGCTGGCTGGTCCTGTCGGGCTGGCACGTCTGCGTGGCGCAGGTCCCCGTTAGTCTAGAGGCGCGGGGCTCGGGGCGGCCAGGCGGCCGGGGCGGGGCTGTCCGGTTGTGTCAGAGCTGCTCCGCTGAGGCCCACGCGCCCCTGAAGCTGCCGAACTCGAGCCGGCCCGACAGTCGCTAGGTGGAACCTAACAGACAGGGAGGCGGAAAGGGCAAGGCACGCCTGGGCTTGCGCTTCCGTGCGCAGTCCAGTCCACGCTATTTCTCTGGTTGGAACTGGGAGTCCTGCACGCCCCGAGAGCCCACACACACTTGTGCGTGCCCTGAGGTTCCCCTCGCGTGCCCAGCAAAGACACCCAGACATTGGCGAATGCAGACGCAGGCATGCACTGGTTCGAACATGTCATACGTGTGGCAAATCACACACGTGGCTACCGGTTGGTATGTATCCACACAGACCCAGGAAGGTGTGTCATGAAATAATTATTGGGCTGTGGAAGAATAAAAGGCAGGTGCAGGGAAGGGAGGAGGTTGGGTCTGGAGGGGTCCTCGGTCCTCGCGGTGAGGGCGCTGCCATCGTCCTCTGCGACTAGTGTGCGCTGGGCGCTGTGCCTCTCCTTGCCCCCAGTCTCCTGGAGGAGATAAATCACCGTCCTCAGGCCGGTATTCGAGGCCCCAGACTTCCTCAGGGGCCCAGCCTCACAGTTTCTCTTGCTCCTGCCTCGCTCAGTCCAGCCCGGTCCTGGCCGACGTCGCCCAGCCCTGGACAGGGTGGCATCCCATGGCCGGGATCCCTCCCAGCCCAGGCTCACCTCTGCTGATTGCTCTAGAACTCCCAACCGCGCCTGTCTTTATCTGCAAAGAGAGAGCAGAACCCGTGAAATGGGAGCCAGGCGGCCCAAGGCCCTCGAAGGGGGCAGGTGGGGAGAGATACAGCCGGTCAGGGTCCGCATCAGCCCAGCCCTAAGACGCAGGGAGGGGCCGGCCAGAAGTCTGAAGGGGACCCGAGGGGGAACCTGATGGAGGAGAGGGACAGGAAGGCTCTGGGGCAGGACCGGACTCCTGGGTCCTCGGCGAGGAAGAGGGGTTGGATTCGAGCCATGTGCCAGACTCGGAGTGGTTGAATGGGTCCGCCAGCGTTGGGGACTCACGTAGCCCCCTGAAGCCGCGTCGCCTCCTCCTGCATGCCCGTGTCACGCAGTACGACTGCCGTGAGCTCGGCGCGGTACTCCTCGCAGTAGAAGGCGACCAGCTTGTCAGTGAGGTCCACGGTGTCTAGCGGCCCGAGCACCCCCCCCCCCCCGGGGTCCCCAAAACCCCGCCCCCCCCCCCCGCCCCCCCCCCCCG